TTTGCTAGATTTTGGCATTTAGCAACTGACATACGGTTTAATGTGAAGACAAACAACAACAACAACAAGCTCGACCGCTAGTCTTGTAGACGACGTGTCATGTGCTAGCGTGATCGATAATTCGGGTGACCCAGTTCTATGTGCTTGGAGTTTAGAGCGGGTGGCCCATGACGGGGCGTTGATGGGTAAAAACGTGTTGGGAAACGTGTTGTATCCGTGTTGTTGTAATCGGGGGCGTGCTTGAGCTCGTCATTCCATCACGGCATCAAGTCACGCATAACGCTCTAACACCCAAAACGAATCTCCATGAATGTCCACCAAACTACCACACTCCCAAGGAAAACATAAAGAAACTTCTTGTTCCTCCGTAGTTCGTCACTGCAATACCAGAATATGTATACGCAATATACCACCCGCATGCTATGCTACGAGTATATCGAATAAGCCGCACATACTCCGCACATACTGTATGCATACCAAACTGAGAATATGTTTGTAAACTGATGGAGATTGCATGTCCTACAACTAACAGGGTGCGACACACAAAACGCCCGACTACCCAACAGTACCCAACACCTTTCGTCTGCACCTTCCCAACATAACGTATATGAGACACACAAGACAGCTACCAAACTGATTTGTTGAGCCTGTTACCCACAGGGGAGATGTCCCTATATGCTGTCTGGGAAATCGTAGACACACAGGTAGTTTTCTCTGACGCTGTGATTCCATTGTTAATCTGTCTCTGACTCTTTTGTATGATAGAGATGGACTCGTTGTGTCATACAATTGTGTCATATTAAAAAAATTATAAATTTAACAAGACTGAAGACAAAAACAAAATATCATCAACACCCGACAGTCCCGCGGTCCATAGGGTGGGTGTATGGTGGATCCGGTCCGGTGGCCCCCTGTCCCCATGCCCACATGTCTCCAGCCAATGTGAAATGCTCGGTCGGCCTGTCGTCACTACTGTCGTCTCTCTTCCACATCGGAAGGGGTAATCCGTTTGGCTTGACCGGAGGCTCGTCGCCGTTCGAGATTCTCGCGTCTCTGACCCCCGTTTCATCCAACAACTGCTGCGTCTACAGCAGCGTCGTATAGTGCAGCCTCAAGTACAGCGTCGATGACACCGACAGGCCGAACGGCAGCGGCAGTGGTGAAGGCTATCATGCTGTTGAGTACCCTCTCTCAGCCGGTGCCAGCATTTCTGGCCAGAGGTTCTTTGCCGAGAACAGCATGCCTCCACAGGAGGACGCTCTGCGTAGCTGCCGGCAAGGGCTTTGGGAACAAACCAAAGCCCCCTCCTGCCAATAATACGCCACCTCAGGATACGGGACCAGCGAAGAGAAAGGCCAGATCATTGATGCCTCTGGCGGACGAAGCGGCGTCTAAGCTGCTGGTGAAGGAGGGTCCAGACGGCAGCCCCAAGTTTGATAACCCTGCTGTCGGCGACTTCCAGGTGCTGGACGCACTGGTTGAGGTAAGCTGTACATGCTCATCCTGGTCGGCGCACCACCACCTCGGCAAGTGCTGAAACATGTCACCCAAGCGCGGCACTTTTCCTGACGTTTGGCGGGGATCATGTTTGGGAGCACCCATGGTGAGAGGGACCATATTTTCGTCATGGGGCTATCAGTAGCAATGAGTGTGTGAGCCACGTGCAATGTTTGCAACACTTGCCCTTCCCCCCGTTGTGTGAATAAATACGCCTTCGGCTGGTAGTTTCTCGTTTGCCGAGTCTTGCTTGCTACAACAGCAGCGTGCTGATCAAATTGTCTCACGACATGCCGACTCCTACAATTGTAAGTATGTACATAGCGTAACAACGGTAAACGGTACAGCTGCAAGTCTACGTTGTACCACCACAACCCGCACCTGTTTTGCGCACGATTTAAATGGTTGGGTCATACTGACAAAATATATAAAAATAATAATAGTTATGTTTGCGCTGCCGGTGTGGATTCCCAGTACCCCGGTAGCTTCGATCTCAAAATCATCGGCGTCGACGATGACACGTTCGTGAGCGACATACGCAAGGCGGTGGCAGGCTGCCTTTCGAACGGCGAGGACAACGTCATCAAGTGCTCCACGCGGGAGAAGGGCAAGTACACAAGCATCACGCTCAAAGTCAAGGTCGAAAACTCCACGCAGCTCTACAAGGTATGTATCCCGATCCATCTTTTAGCAGACGCTCGCTTTTGCTTTCCGCTATCCCGCTTATTGCCTCTGACTGGTAACAGCAGGTAGCATCCTTCAACAGAGTTTGCTGGGGTAACCTACGCATGTAGGGGGTGTTGCACGCTAAGTGGTGTGATTCTTCCGAGTCCTGCATACAGCTTCGCCACCACAATGCCGTTGGAATATCTTGGAGGTGTTTATCGTTGAAGGCTTTACTGTAGGCCTACTCCGCTCAAGTGTTATGCTGGAAGGGTGGCCGGAAGCGGGCAACAATCAGTTTGTATCTGTTCAGTCAATTTTCACCTATAAGCCGAAAGAAATGAGGCCTGTAGAGCGTGCAGGCATTTCGCAAGGCGAGGTTTCATTTGAAGTGTACTTAGCGTGTTTGCTCCTTTTTTATATCTCTTGTGCTCCCTCACGCTGAATTGACCCCGTCACGCTGTGTTGTGCTGTTGCCCCGCTGTCTTCGAAGTGCTACGAGGTGATCAACGAAGATAAACGAGTAAAATTCAAGTTTTGAGGCTCCAGCAGCAGCAGCGGCGGCGGCGGCGGCGGCGGCTCAACTACCATCCCCACAACAATTGCGACAACACAGGTCGTAGATTGCGAGTTTGTATTATCAGCCACAGCGCTTTCTGCGAAAACGCAGCGCCTTGTAGGAACAACGCAAAATCTAAAGACTTCAATAATGTGCACACGACGGCAGCCTTGTCCAACGTGGCGCGCCCCCGCTTGCCTTCCCTGATTCCGTCTTATCTTCCGTCCAGAAGAATAAATGCGAAAACCGAGAGCAAGCGTGTTCGGCAACAGCCTGCTTTCTTCGTGGTAGGAGCTTGCCGGTGGGTATTGTTGGCTCACAGGAACAAGAGGTTTCCAGACTGAGAAATGGAAAGACCAGGGTCTTGTACGCTGCCCGCAGTTGAAGCGCTGATGCACCACTCGTGCTCGTGCTGTCGTATCCTCCGTCGTTAGAGTGGGGGAAATTCGGGTGGGAATGAGCGCTACGAGGAATGACATCAGCTTCGGGGCAGCTGCAGAAGGGACAGCTTGTGTATTTTTACATCGCTAAGTCAACACAGCCATGCAGACCCACATGCAGACACAACGCCTTGAGCAGGGCGTACTGCGTTGCATGGGGTGCAAGATTTTTCCAGAAGCGCATTACCCTTGACAGTCAGTTTTCCACCCACGAAAACGCCTCCTTGGAGCGGGATACTCTCAGGTTCAAGAGGAGCCTCTGGCAAAAAAAAACTAACAAAAGTCGCAACAACCAGTATTGGCATCGTCCATGTGCTCGGCAACACCGCCAAAATCTACGAAGCAAACGCGCACGCAACTCCGAGCCCCCCATCAACTCCACCAACAACACAGCCGTGCCACACATACTTGGCCAACAGGAGTTCATAGGAACTAACGAATATATACAGCAGAAAGAATGCAGCCGGTCGTTTTGCACCTGAGCCACCCGTACCTACCCCACTCATTTATATTTTTCAATCGCTTCAGCCTGTGGGGGGGGCTACGGCAGTACCAACGTCTTAGACAAAATGGTGCGGGATGACGACCGTAGTGTATCGTCTGCGCCGAACATAGTTAGGCTCTCGTATTGGCGACGTATTTCGCGAAAGGGCGTCGGTACAGTATCCTCGTCAAAACGACACCTGGGAAGACGCAAAAACACTGCCAGAGGAGCCGGACAAAACCAGCGACCAACCCGCTGCCCCACCTTCGACAATGTAATTCCGCGCACACACGTTTACGCCACCCCGGGATGTTGCGTGCACAAAAAGTGTGTGTGCGCTCAGACGGGCTGAAACCCCGCACCAAAACTGTCGTATTTCACATAGCAATAACCCCTCATGACAACTTATTCGGCAGGCGTTTACATCAGGTATCCCGCCCCACTAGCTCCCGTCCCGCCCATGTGCCTGAGCATGGTGCCTACTAATGCCACTAGCGCGTCTGCCTGGAGCTGTGAGGAACGGTACGCGTAACCAACCAGCGCCCGAGGAAATTTCCCAGTACCAAAAAAGCCGTGCAAGTAGCACCACCGTTGAGATGTTCCAGGACGACGATGGTTACGATGGCGATGGAGGCCGTCGAAGTGCAGGGTCCGAGCCGGTTCAACGCGCATGGGGCGGGGGAGGGGGGAGAGACCAATGTCAGTCACAAAGGCCACTGCTGGTTGATGTTGCTAGCTGCCGTGCGTGTGCAGCAATATCGCGCTGACTCGCAACGCTTTTGTCAGCCGCATGTTTTCCAAAGAGCGGTTGACATGCGAAAGCTTGAGCGATCCCGCCCTTTCGACCCACCTTTTGCCGCGACTCCCTCGGCAACGCTCTCGCGAGGCACAGCAGCACCCCGTGCGTCGACCGCAGGGGCTCTCCCGCCTCCTTCTCCGACCGCACTCCCCCCCGCCCCTCTTCCCAAGCCTCCGGGTATCTAGCGGAGCGAACCCAGCGGCACGTGTCGGCATCGAGGCTGGCCAGGAGCCCCCTCGACGCGCTCGGGGAGGTCTCCAGGAAGTCCAAGAATCGCTTCAGGCGGAGGCGCATGACCGTCAGAATGTCTCCCGCGAGGTCTTGCAAAGAGAAGATCTGCGTATTTAGTAGAAGAGGGTACCGGCGGGGGGGTTGACTTGTGCTTGGCTTGCGTTGTTAACCAGCGTTCCATGATCCCGTTGGAGATAAGGTGGTGCACCGTCTCGTCAAGTCTGTTGATCTGCGCCATTCAACCTACTCCTCCAGGCATCGGAGATTCTGATAGGCCTTGGAACGAAGACTCCGATTTCGAGGAACCTACCGCAACCACCCCGCCGTGCAAGTCACGGCTGGTTGTGATGAGACAGGCGAAGGCCAACAAACGTACCTGCGACAAGGCCTCTTCGCCCAACACGTCATGCCCCCTCCTCAGCAACACCAGGCAGTGCCACCCGCGCACGGTGTCTTCGGACACGCCGAAGTCCCGCGCTAGCCTGAGTTGGGAGCACGCGTAGTGACAGCAGGGAAGTCGTGGTTCGCATGCGATGCGTCTGCGTCGTTGCTTGTGTTCGACTTATTCGTACCGCAACTCACGCACGCTCTCCAACCGTCAGTGACGGCGGGGAAGAGCACCGCCGTGGCTTGCAAGCGTTGCGTCTGCGTCGTTACCATTGTTCGATCGGTTCGCGCCCCAACTCACGCATGCTCTCCAACCGTCACTAACGTGCGGAAGGGGCTGACCACAAAGCAAGCCTTCTAGCCATCCATCCCCAACGGTCCTATGAAGCGACGGCACAATGTGCTGTCTCAGACTCTGGAGTGTCGAACCCAGAGGTCTATTCGAAACCAGAGGTCTGTTCACGGGAGTAACTCGCTTCAAGTCGACAATGAGCTTGCGCCTGAATCCACGCCGAGACAGTCGCACCCCACTCCATTCCCTCCCCCTGAAAAACCACCCGCACCTGTAGACGTTTTGGGCCGGACGCGGAACCACGGCATCCAACGCGCGCCGAATGTATGACTCTCTTCGGGCCACGACGTGCCGCTCTCCTTGCACACCCACCCCGGCAGGACCCCCGCCTCCCGTCGTACGTCGGTCTCCGCCAGTAACAGCCGGCGAGGCAAGATTTTCGGCAGACAGAGACGATTCCGCGCAAAGGCTGCGCCTGTCGCAGGGTGCGGACGGACGGTCGGGAGGGAGGGGAAGAAGAGCCATCGATTTTTTCGTTGGAGTTGAAAAAAACGGTGTCGATGCTGCCGTTGCTTTCTGCTGTTGTTGAAAAAAACGATAACGTCGTTGCCGTTCACTCAGCTGCTGTACGTTTGGTGTTCACGTGTTTGTTGGGTTCTCTGCTCGGCTTCCATCGCTCTGCAGCTCTGCTGTGGTTGTGTCGAGCCTGTACCTCTAGTTCTTGGAACACTGTTCTGTGCAAGACGCCAAAACGGTTGCACCAACCAAGAACACCCTCGTGTCGGGTGACTCAAGGGAAGGATTGGGAAGGATTTCTATGGTGACAATCTGTTCACGATTCCCATGAGCATGTATGCACCATCTGAGAGCCCCCCGCTTGAGTAGGTAGACACGTATTCCGAGAACAGGCACAGCAGCAGCGTCTCTTCATCCGGCAAGTGTATCCTCCAACCCCCCTTCACCAAGAACGTCCCAAATAAGATCCACACAAACCGCGTGTACGATTCTTCCACGCAGCAATTTCACAGCACACGGAATAACGGTTAGGGCACATCGTGTTTCTCACCCTTGCTCGAATAGCCCCAGCGTGTCCTCTTCCGGCAAGCCGCAGACGGCGCTAACCCGGAGGGCGCGCAGCAGCGTCGAATGGGCCGCCACCGCGGCTTGGAGAGGAGGGTGCACCTGTTAGGGGGGGGGGGGG